TGAAGACCCATTGAAGGATCAACTATTAGTCAGGTCCATTTCAAAGGCAATGAGTGAGTGAATACTTACGTTATTTTTGTTGTTAGGTGTCATGGACACAACTACCACTCTTGGAGACCCTGTGAACCACAGATCTGATCATTGCCTTATCTTGTACTACCCTTCTAATCTCTACCATGCTCAAACTCACTGTAGAAGTCACTGAATCAAACTATCTCATGGATGGTGTGAATGTAATGTGTACGTAGGAAGATGAGCTCTTTTTAGTTTTTGTCGTTGGGTGCCATCAAGTTGAGTATGACTCATAGCAACTCTATAAACAACAGACCTGAACCCCGTCATATCCTGTGCTATCCTCATTATCTCTGACACATTTGAGTACATTGCTGCAGTAACTGTATTGGAAGGTCTTCATGTAACTGGGGGGGTTTTCCTCTCATTGATGCCTTTCCTTTCTTTAGCTGGCCCCCCACCTTTCCAAACATGATTCCCTTTCCAAGGAATAGCTTCTCCTAACAACATGTCTAAAATATGTGAGATGGGGGCATTCTGACTGTACATTTTTCAAGAGTTAACTGTTTGCTGTTTCAGAAGTCCATTGGATAGTCAATACTCTTCTCCAAAGCCAACAACTCAAAGTCATCAATTCTTCTTCTGTTGTCTTTATTCATCGTCCAGTTTTCAGATACGCAGCAAGTTATTGAAAAGAGCATGGCCTGAGTCAGGCACACCAACGTGTTTGAACTGACATAACTGCTCTTCAGTATTTCAGAGAAGTCCCTGACGGCAGACATTCCAAATGCAATACGTCTCCTGATCTCCAGACTGCCGGGATCATGGGTACTGATTGTGAATCTAAGCAAAATGAAATCACTGACAACTTCAACACTTTCTCCAACTATCATGATGTTGCTTATTGAGTATTTTGTGAAGAACAAGTTGATTTGTCAAAGCATTTCCAGTACGTGACTCATACACTCGACTAAAGTCTATTAATTTAACTTTCTAAGGTGTTATCCTAGCAAAGACTTTTTGTAGAAGTAGATACTCCGTTCAGACAGGCATTTTTCTATGTCAGTACTTACAGAGAAGTATTAAACGTTGTCCTCCAGGGGGCGTTAAGTCTTCAGCAAAGCTCTTATTTCACAAGAACTAAGAATAAAATCAGGTCTAGTCAGCAAAACCACAAAGTCTAGATTAGACTGGGAGGTAGGATGTCTAGAATTTATATCCTGATTTTTAGACTTACTTGTTTTTCTTTTTCTTTCTTTCTTTTTCCCCCCTTTTTTCTTTTATGGAAGGCTAGGATGGATGTGAAAAGCCCATGGTCTGTGGAGTATGCCCCATGGGCCGTGTCCAACCACATTACTCTGAATGTCCCACTTCCAGCCTTGATGTGGCTGGTTCTCACTGCACCCTCTGATAGCCCTTAAAGAGATTATTCCATAAGTAGCTTCTAAAGGCTTTCTGTGGGCAAGGATGCTATTCTTGGATACCCATAAGATAGCCTAATTACGAGTCAAATAATATTACATACTCAAAATGACAGAATAGTCCTTCCATCCTATTCAAGTCTCACATAGATATTTTGCAGCTTTCTTAAAAAAACCAGCAACTTTATGTAGTCAAGTCTATGACTTTTAAAGGCAGAACACTAAAGTGATTATTGTTGTTGTTGTTAAGTGCCGTCGAGTTGCAGGTGGCTCGTAGTGACCCTATGAAGGAGAGTTCGTGACACAAAGTGATTATAGAGACCCATAAAAAAACCTGAACTTGATTGACATCCAGATGGAACCAGCAGGTTTTTGAGAAACAGTAAATCACTTGGCAGGAGATTGCCCATCTTTCTCCTGTGGAGGAGCCATTGGTGGATTTGAACTGCTTGAGAGAAGGCCCTGTGGGTTTGCAGTGCAACTCTTCACAGACTATACACTAGTGTTAAGAACTTCTGAGGTGTACTTACTTGTTGTTGTTATGTGCCGTCGAGTCGCCTGCGACTCATAGCGACCCTATGTACAACAGC